CGCAAAACCAAGGGGTTTAGCATCTGGTGAGCCAGGTTCCATTCCCTGCGGTCGTCCCATGTCGTCATCATACTCGAAAGACGCTTTGTCGTACATGCACACATCAGACACGTTGCTCTCGGCATCACTCTCGGGTTCGCTAGCGTGTTCATCTGTCTTGAAGCAATCGCCGTCTTTGGGATGACGAAGGGAAGTCTGAACAAAATCAATGATGTTGACGGCTTCCCTGCCTCTGTGACTATTGCATAGTAAACCAATCAGATGTTCAACGGCTTCAAAGAAGCTCGGCCGTAATTGCACGGCGCGCAGCCAATTCTGCGAAGCCTCCTCTCGGCGATCGAGTGCTAACATGGTAGCAGCAAGGTTGGAGATAGCTTCCACGTGTCTGGTACTTGTTAAAATCAATTATTAGGCAGCAAGAAGAATTCACTTACGTCGAGTCACGAGCTATGATCCTGGAGTACCATCGCACGGCTTTGTGATAATCACCCAAGCCATAGGCTAAACAACCCCCGAGAAGCATTCCGTCGATCCATTCCCAACGGCTTTCCGCACACAAGTCAGACAGCATTGACAAAGCAGATGCAGCATTGGACATAGGCGAGCCCTCATTGAAAAGAGAACCACGAGCCCTGGTGAAATTCGACACTCCCGGAGGACAGCCCGTGTCGCGTAGTCCGAGCATATGGGTATCTGATCCTCTGCTATGTGTGAACTGATTCAAGGACGGGCGCCGAGTCTGCACGCGAGGAACAGATGCAGGGTCGTTCGACCTATGGCTGCCGGCGTTAAATTTCTGACGTTGCAAATCATATTGACTAGCTGGGTAACTGTTATGACGTGTGAGGTCGGGCGGAGGGGCTTGTGAAAAGTCGAGACCTGGTTGCCGTGGGGGTTTAGGGTAGATGCTTGGCTTCAAAAATCGGGGGTAACCGTCAACGGCAGCGTTGTTAATACTGTTGCGGCGGGCCTGGTGGATAGTTGCGAGGAGGTCGACATAGACACCATGAGCCTCAGACAGGACTTTCTCCTTGAAATCCGTGTTCCCTACTACTGCAGGACCTGGGGGTTGGAATCCATGTAGTGGGCGACTCGACCAATTCGTGGGCTCATTGTTCAGTGTCTGTGGCTGTGGAAGACCAGACAGAGGACGGTTGGCTCGGGCGTGGAAAGGTAATTGCTCAGAGTGACGTGGTGGGAAAAGAGGTTTCATCAAAGAGTCCTGAGTTGGCAAACCAGGCGTGGAGTGCCCCCATGCGAGCCCCGAATCTGCGTGGCTGTCCAGCGGAACCTGAGCTTGGTTAAAAGGTGGCTGATTAAGGTCGTAAAAAGACTGGCTCATCTGCTTTGTAAAGGGCGTCGGTGATTCAAAACGCGCATCGCGAAATGCTGCGGGACGATATGGGATGTATACACCATCAGGCCAATATGGACCGAATGGCCCAGTACCTGCCGAAGCAGTTGGTCCGAGACACGATTGCAGGGTTGCTGGTAGGACTGTGGGCACATATTGCCCATTTTGTAATAGATATCGATGAGATGGCTGCAGGGGCAAAGTTTGGTTCAACATAGAGTCAACGCCCGGAGGATAGTTGACGGGACGAACCCAGCTCGTCCCATTCACATCTTGAACGACTTCTTGAACGGTATTGCCTTGGTCATTTTTGAAGACGGGCGGGAAATTCATTTGTTTTGTGGCTGACTGGTCCAACATGAGCTGCCAATTTTCGGACTGCATCCCTTGAGGGGAAATGAACTGGCCCTGTTCCATCGGCGAAACCAAGATATGCTTGGGTGCTGGTGGCTGAACAGTATCACCAAGGGTCCCATCATACCCCGCAGCTAGAGTTCCGTTTGGGGTTTTCCTCCTCAGGGTGTGTTCGCCCACATTTGTGCTGGAGCTATAGCCGGAGCCATCGCGGGAATCGAGACGTTGAACGGGATGGGGGAGTTGGATGCGCGATCGGGGTATTGTATTAAAGGAAGGGTTGGAGGGGTCGTTGCGGACGGGGAGTGAGTCGTTCGCATCGTACGTGTGCTGGTTGAGGGTGTCGGTATGGTAGTGTATTCGGTGGTGCGGTTGAACCGGGGGAAACGGTGCGACGGTCGGATACATCTTTGCTTTCTTTCTTTCCTTGATCCAAGGGGATCGGAATACCTTGAGGCCGACCAGCGACAAGGGTATCACCGAAGACTCAACACGTCAATGGAGTCAACATTCAACAATCATCCTTATACCTTTTCCGACACCTCATTATGTGAAATCAGTCCAGCCAGTTTGAAGCAGTTCAGCCGGTTGTGGCTTTTTGGATTGCGCGAAGGATTTCAGAATATCGTCATCGACTGAAGAAAATGTAGAAGTTTGGATAGAGAAGTATGTGTGATAAGATGAGGGAAGAGAAAATAATAATAAAAAAATTAAAGAGGATCAGAGACGCAAGGGAGAGAGAATGTCCAGCTCACGATGCTGGTGTCCGAGACGGCCAATAAAAGGTAATCTTGGCAGGTGCGAGGGGTAGATCATTAATGGTATTGGAGATATCAGATATACGCCCGAGAGGGGGGGGGGGGAACAGGGTCAAAGGAGAGTGAAGAGGTAAATGAAGATGTAAAGAGGTCGAGAGAGTAAAGATGAGAAAGATGTAAAGTCAAAAGTCCACCAGTCCACCAGTCCCAAAAGAACAAGGTTGAAGAGAAAGCGAAGGGAGTGGACACGGTGGATTCAGGTGGGGGAAATAGAAAATACATATTAAATTCATCTCTACCTATATATAAATATTATATGTGTAAGTATTATGTATTATCTATATCCTATATCCTATATATCTTAGGTATATATCTTATGCTGTCTATATAATATAAAACCTCTCTACCCTCTCCCTCTCTCTAAATATACATATCACATATCAAAAACACCTAATATCCACTTGATCCAACGGCTCTCCATAAAGCCAATACTTGTGGATCATTGGTTCCATCACGGCGACTAGTGATGGATCGGTGACGCCCCCGCCGGTGATCGAGTCGAGCCAGTTCTCGGTTTCTGTGGGCTACGAGACTTGGCTGAACTTTACGAAATTGACTTCGCTTGACGCTTGACGCTTGACTCTGCACTTAAAAATGTCTGTCTCTTGCACTGGACTGAATACCTGGATAGCCGCTCGTGTCTTTCTTTATTTTATTTCAATTTTTATTTCGGTTTTTTTGGTCTCTTCTTTTCCCCTTTCCCATCCTTTTCTGACAGGCGCAGCCCCTGTTTGTTGGCTTGCCCTCCGATCCTTTCCTATCCGGGATTATTCTGGGGTTGCTCGCATTTCCACCACGATCCCTGCGGTCATTTCTTCCTTAGCCTCTTAGCTTGAACTATTTTGGTTTTTTACTTCAAGCCCTGATTCGTACACACATATCGCATACAACACTACGTATATCCCATACCTGGAGGCTCGACAACCCTCTATAAACGGCCACACTCGCACTGGAGAGTATTCGAAACCTTCCTCCAGTTTCCCATAAAGTTAACGTGTCACAGGTAGAGATCGACAAACTGCCCCCACTGTATGTCGTATCCTTTCTTGGCCTGCGCAACGTTCCTGTACAGCGGTATGCGGGTCGGGTGATACAGGCACTGACTGATTCAATATTCATATTTGGGGGGGAGGCAAAGATACTATTTCTACTTTTCAGAAAGGAAAAAATAATATGAAATAAAATAAAATATTAAAATATTAAAACAAGAAAGAAGATATATATCCACTTGATATTCCCCGACTCCATTCGACCCAAATATATCCTCTTTTCAAACCAAACACACATCAAAATGGATCAGCCCCGTGGATGAGCACGCACATCGCCTTATCAGGGCTGATGAGGATCCTCGGTGGAGTGCGCGCTAACAGGACATTAATTTGCTTACATTCCTCATTTTAGTATTAATCTTAGGATCGGTGAGCCATTAACATTTTACACTTTACTATTCTTAAATCCAGGACCCAACATACTGTTTGGTCCGCAGCCTATAACATTTGAATACGATGTACTGACTAAATTTTCTATGAATTTTCATTGGTGCGTCACGCTCGGATACTTGTTGGCTCGAGAGTCAGCTTTGTTTGGTGTACTCCGTGGCGGCCGTTGCGGTGTTTCAGACTCAGAATAGAATTCAAATGATGCCAGACAGGGCTGGCGATTTACAGTGTTGGTGTGACGTCTACTTTCTGTACATGGACCCATACTAAATGCATATCTGTACAGCGAGGTATTCATGCAGATTGTACACTGTACATTTTATACGACGTAGAGAACGTTGTTGTGGGGTGGGGGGCCGTTTCATTGGGAATATATATATCACATATTTCTGAAGCAACGAAATTGAACTTCTCGGCCTGTTATTTTTAGAAACCAGTACTGCCTCAAATAGAGTCATGTTATATCAATATCACAAGCATGGAGTCATTGAGTGTCAATAACATCGCGTCGCATATGTACATGCATGGTGGCAGCCCGCAGACAGGGGAGCCTGGTTCTGTGTTGTACGTGGAGTACTTTGGCACACCGCCACCGAAGGGTCCGAGTGTGATAATTAATAATTGGTACGAGATGTGGAAAAAAACAATAATCGGAAATTTCAAGATCGATTGAAGCTAGCTAGACTACAGCCTACGAGAGCAGAGCAAAATAATTTCTCATCTGCAAGAGATGTAGACCCGAAATATGGACCACTGCACCCACGAAGACAAGTCTCCAAGGATACCGCGATGAGTAATGGGACTGATTTTCTCTTCCCCACTTAAAATAAGCCTATACCACGTTTTGATATGATCAAACCCCGTAGGGAATGAACAGTAAGGGCCAGAGTGTTGTGGGGGTTCCATCCGAAGGACGGACTGTCGGCTGCGCCGCGCATAGCCTTGCATTATTCTCTTCGCCATAGGAGAAGGCGGGAGGATGATGAGAGGAATTGGGAGAGAAAGGAGAAAAGGATACAACCGGAAAGGAACGAGAAAAAAAGAACAAGCAGCGAGCTGGTCAATTTGTTCCAACTGGACACTCGCAAATTAGGAAAAGGTATCATAGGTCATGACTCATGAATATTTTGTTGGTTTGAGAAACCATTCGTATTCTGCAACTAGCCATCTCATCATTAAGAGAAGCACGCCTTAGAAATCAGATAGGCCTCCTCTTTTTTTGATCATTCAAGAGAGAATAATTTATTCCTCGGGAACTGAAGAAACTGTTAGCAATAGATTCAATCACTGATGAATCAGTAAAACTCACTGTCAATCTCGCCAGACTTAACGTCATCGGAGACATCCTTGGGGCTGCGGCCATCGACCTGGCAGCCGACGGAGAAGGCAGTTCCGAGAATCTCAAGAACACCACCACGGAGCTCCTTGGCCATCGAGCGAGTGCGCATGATGCGGGCAATCTCGATGATCTCATCCATGGGGATGGACTTGGAGTGCTTGATGTTCTTCTCCTTCTTGCGGTCACGGGGAGGCTCCTTGAGGGCCTTGATGACAAGGGAAGAGGCGGAGGGAACAACGGAGACGGCGGCCTGACGGTTCTGGATGGTCAGGCGGACGGTGACGCGGAGACCCTTCCAGTCGCCAGTGTTCTTGGCGATATCTTCACCAATCTTCTTGGGAGACAGACCGAGGGGACCGATCTTGGGGGCCAGAGCGGACTGAGCGCCGACCTCACCACCAGTCACACGGAGGTGGCTAAGACAATAATGATTAGTTTCTTGTTGGCTGGGTATAGCTGGACAGAGCCAGAGGAGCTGTGGGAACAATTCACTTACATGATCTTAACCTCATTGGGATCGAACTTGGGAGCTGATCACAAGGAAGTGTTAGTTAGGAGCCATCTTGCCATATGCCAAGTAGATGATACTTACGCATGGCGAGTGCGAAAGGTAGTCAATCGTCCTTGGTTGTCGAAGAAGGTGGTTACAGAAGAGAAGAAGGAAAGGAGTAAAAAAATCAAACTTGAAGGAGACTCGCTGCTAGCGTGGCCCACACTTGCTCATCTAAGCGAATGACCGAATTGGGATATAGGGCACGCACATTCAATCACGTGATACAAGAAAACCCTTATCGAGCTGCTTGCCTCTTTGGGTATTTTATTTTGTGCTTGACACCTTAGGGCACTTGAGGCCTACTTTAGTAACAAATATTGCAAGAACTCTTAAAAGGAATCCTCCTGTAATGGTATCAATCCATTCAATCTACTACTATATCGCGTCAAAGGAGATAAATCACCGCTAAAGATACACAAGACCCGAGGGTCGACGACAGACCGCCCTTGCTCTCATGGCCATTGTCTCATAACACCTAGCTGGTTCCAGATACAGCAAGTCTAGAATAAATTTAGTATGAAAGGTTCCGAGTCAAAACCGGGGGAAAACTCACTTCATCAGGTGGTCCATGAATGTCTGGAGCGACACGTCGTCAGTGAAGATGGTCTGCGATGAGGTACCGCCACCGTAGCCACCTGTGGTGTGGGTGGTCGATGGGTTCAGCTTGGACAGCAAGAAACGGGCCTGAGAACCACCGGCATCACAGACGATGAAACGGGGCAGAGGGAAACGGTCGGAAATAAGGTCCTATATGGCATGAGTTAGTTAATTCGGTAATCATATGACAAGGGAGGGGAAAACGAACCCTAGCATCCTCCTTAGGCTGCTCAAGGAGCAATTTGAGGTTCTCATAACCCTCTTGTTCATGGTACCCGGCTTTCCTCCACTCGGCAATAGTCTCACCGTTGAAGATGAGGATGTGGAAGAAGGTATCAAGGAGGAGAATGTGGGCGGGTTGGATAGAAGCGGAATCCAGCAGCACTGGTTGAGCACCCTCTTGCTCCAGAGAGTACGAATCAAGAGTGGGCTGGATCATCACAAGAGAGTCGCCAGTATCCTCGTGGTTCAAGACGTGGCGGTAGAAAGCAGTCTCATCGGGCGAGTTGTTGAAAACCTGCAGGAACTGACTTCGGCGAAGATGGAACATGAACTGAGGGTACAAAGTGAAGTTCTTTTCCAATCGGAATGATGTCGGGTCATCCTTCCGGTAGTCAGCGAATCGGGAGCAGAGTCTGATGAGCATGCGATCAACCCAGCGCAGGACGTCTGGACCGTCATCAACCTCCGCCTTGAACACGGCAATACGGGCCATGAGGACGGCGGCAGCCTCTTGGTCGAAGGACTGTGCCAGGGTGGGGTCACCCGCAGGTCCGCTCAGGGGGCGGGCAGTGGTGGTTACTCGCAGGTGGTAATGCCCAGAGGAATGCTGGTAGTATGTCAAAAACTGGATCACACCCCGTTGAGGACCAGGCTGAACAGCAGCTGGGCCGCCCTGGTTGGCAATCTCAAAGTAAATACCGTAGCTGGAGGATGGGTCCATTCCACACATCTTCCATGCACAGGTATTACCGATACCGCATTCTGTCTCGCCGACAGAGCTTGACTTCTTGTTCAGCGAGATAGCGTGACCAATCAGACCAGTAACCTTGAGCTCCTTGGTTGTAAGCACCTCAAGGGATGCATTGAAGCCCATCAAGAGGTTGTCGTTGGCGTCCTTGTCGAACACACGCACGAACGATTGCTTGAACTGTGAGGATGTGAAGCTATCTGTGAGAAGCATGTGACCTCCAGTGAAATTGGAGAGGTTCTTCATTTCCAGCAAACCGACTTGATCAAGACAGCCGGCGAAAATATCGACAATATGACCATTGTTGGCAGCGCGCTTAGCGAGGGCATCATAGAACTAGGGTTAAATTAGTAGAATTCGAATATACCTATGCGCTGAGAACCGACCTTGACAGCCTTCTTGTAGTACTTGATGTTGTCCCGGTCAATATCGTGGTGCGAACGAATAGGCTCCTTCAGTTCGGGGGAAACAACGTGACCAGGGCCTTCAGTGGCTGCACCACTGGTGAAGGTCATAATGCGGCCTCCGGCGTTCTGGAAGGAAGTCTCAAGCAGACCAACGGCAACGCTCAGGGCAACACCGGTGCAGCGCAGGGGACGCTTGTCATTGGCCACCGGCCAGGGATCGCGCTGCAGTTGTTCGAGGACATTGGTGATCTGGAACTCAGCCTGCTGAACGGGCATGAGGAAGCGTGCAGCCGGGCCAAGGGGAGGACGGGTAGGCTGTTGCTGGGGAACACCGGGGCGTACACCGCCGGCCAGGCCTAGCATCTCTTGAACCTGCTTGGCGTTGTATTCCTTGTTGCCTCTGAACACATATGACTTTGCGCATTCGGTGTAGCCGAGCTCGTGAACTTGGGCCTATAGATATCAAGGTCAATAATATGTCACCCGCCTTGCGAAGATCATCCTTCCTTACCATTGTACCGAAGGTAATCAGACCAACCAGCGCATTGGGCGGCAGAAGAGATAAGCTCATAATGAGGGAATCCTTGACAGCCTGCAGACTATCATCCTCCTGGCAAGTATCGACGACAAAGACGAAGATCGGGGGAGCGGGGGCGGGTCGTGCCAATTGGTACTCGATCGTCGTGCTCTGGGGGTGGAGTTCTGGGGGTATCGTGTTCTCCGTGATATCCTTGTAATGCGGAGGGAGGGGGTTGCGCGACAGACAGAAGGGGCAGATCCAGCATCGTGCGCGGACATCAACAGTACTGTCCAAACGTCAGTTCATCTACTCATTGAAGTATATCAGTCCAACACGTCACGTACGCATATGGGTTGAGAACAGCGCGGCAGGGCTGCTTGCAAGTAACGGGCTCATATTGTAGCAAAGGGGCCTCTGGCTTTTCCTTCAATGGGGTGTAGACAGCAGCGATGGGAACGACCAAGCGGGACGCTTCCTATATCGAGTATCAGCGGATGATGCGGTGAAGGTCAGAGAGGATCACTGTCACGAACCATGCGAGTGCTCGGGAAAGTGTTCCAACTGAGTCTGATGCCATCGCGGTCCTCCACATCACTCCATTGATCCTTCAGCGCTTCGTAATCCATCTTGTCGGTAGATGTTCCGGGACTCGGTCCTTTGTTGACAAAGGGAGGGGGTATATGCGGATATCGAGAAGTCGCGAGGAAAGAGAACCTCGGATTTTAGGGTCTACTCCAAGAAATTAAAGCAAGTGAGTCACCCGGAGCATAATCCAGTCCCAAAAGAAATCAGAGTCCCTGTTAATAGCTAGGGATTGAATGAACGAGATGGAGGAGTATGTTGTGTGGAGGTCCGGTCCGTGAGTAAGGCCAGGTTGCAGCACAGTTGGTCACTCCCGCGTCCCGGACCAAAACATCATTAAAACTCGGTTCGTCCGCAGTTTCTTCCGCTCTTTTCTTTTTCTTCTTCAATTTCACGCCAGCCTACAATGTGTGTAAACATGTTATTATCGACAACTTCCGTCATTCCATGGCAAAGTTGTCCACTCGTTGAGCGGAGAATGACTTGACCCGTTGCTGGGCACCTGGATTTGAGAGGTCATTCTGATCCTTTCCGATTCTCTGGGAATCAGCTGTGGTCACACTCCCATTGTATATACCATAATTGTTAGAATAAATATTATCTTGCTTCAATTGAACCTGCTTCAGATGTGCTCGTACAAGCTTATGCTCCCTCTTAACGCCGACTATGGAAGAACACGTGAAAACTAAAACACAGCCCGACATTACATCATGAAAATTTGACATGTGAAAAGACACCCTAAGCGTCCTTCGGGGCCTTTGCCATCTGCTTCAACAGGTAGCTGCGCTTGAAGTAGGTGTTCGGGTGAACAATCGTGTCAAGGTCAGTCTGACTCCACGATCCATCCTCCTTGACCTTCTTGATCTCGTTCTTGTGCGTCGCTTCGAACACTCTGTTGCAAGCGATATGGTACCGCATCTTGCCAACATCCTCACGCACACCCCGCAGAACCTCCTTGTCATTGACGCCAGTGGCCTGGAGGAAGCCCACCAGGTTATCAACGGAGTAATGGCGATAGGGACAGCCGTGAGTTTGGCCAATGCCCGGATTTGAGTCGCCGAGGATCTTCTGGCATGAGTAGGGAGTATAGCCCTTTCCGCGACGGTTCACATCTCCACCGACCTCGCCATAAGAGTGACGAATATTGTACTTGTATTGAGAGTTGAACTCATCATCAGTCTTGCCCTTGAATCCCTGACGCCAGAACAAAATACATTCCTCCAAGGACAAGCCAATGCCCTTCAGGAAGAGCGTGTACTGTAGCCGGCCGAAGTGCTTCAAGTGGTTGTTCTTGCGCAAGTTCACATGCAAGCTCTTCATGCACAACGGGAAATGCTGCTGGGCCAATTGGTCGATGGAGCTGGCCGTAATCGGAGATCCGTCCACATATCCTTCGCCTTCCGAGTACACCGACTCGGCGCTGCCAAAGTTCTTCGAAAGATGGTTCAGAATAGGTGTTAGACGATCATCCTCGTCCAGTCGGGGGAGGGCACGGCTCGTGAGCTAGAATCTAATCAGCCACGACATTTCAACCATCAAGCCATCACTGTAGACATACCTCGAGTGCGCGCTCCAAGCGAGCAGTAAACTCAGCCATGATCATGCTCAGCTGCTCTCGACCAGGAACATAAGCCTTTCCTTTCTTCAGAAAAACCGAGCGCCGTTCGACCAACTCGGGGACCTTCTCCCAGTCGACTTTATACCAGGTCTCATCATCCAGCCGACGCAGCCCAGGCGTGGAGCTGAGGAGATTATCTGCAATCTCCGTCTTCTCAAAGTCACCTACAGGTTCCCAATCGAGATTCAAGCTATCAATGAATGCGCGCTTCTCCCTCGAGTCGTCCTGCTGGAAACGAAATTTGAACAGCATGGTCTCGGCGCGGGCGAAGCGTCGACGGAGGTCCTCTGTGGCCGAGAAAGCCAACCGGAGGATGAAATGCGAGTAGTGGTCCTTTTGACGCTCATTTTTCAAGCGTGGGTCTGCAGCACCGGAGGGAGAGGAGGTATTAGAGGAAAGAGGGAGGAACTTCTGCAGAAGAGGTGT